TGCCAGGAGTAATTCCTGAGTGCAGAGCCAGGAGTAACCCCTGTGCATCGCTGGGTGTGACCCAAAAAGAAAAAAATAATCAACCAACTAAAGTCCCCCAAACCAGCCACATAGCTAGAAAGATACAGAAAGTGTCTCCCAGCTGGGGTAGAATGTGCTAGAAGACAGGAGCCCGCAGAGCGGCCAGCCAAAGGTAACGGGTGAGTCAAGACATTCCCTCTACTGTTGCATAGTGCTGGCCGGGAAGGCAGAGCCGGCTAGGTGGGCAGAGGAGGCTGCTCTGGGGCTGGCCGGACCCCTGGGGCGGAGAGGGAGGTGTGGCGGGTAGGTGCTTCCTGCGGGCACCACAGCCAGGGCAACGTTCCACGTTCCATGGGAACAGCCTGGGATCGGACACCTTTAGCTGCATCACCCCAATGGAAAACCCTCCGCTCCCTGTGCCGGGGAGGGGTCCAGGGAGTCAGGGCAGAGTCAGCTGGACTAAGCTATTTTGCAAGGCAGAAAAGCCAGCGATTATGAACCAGGTGAGGGGAGTGTGTGGTTGTTTCAGAGCCCTGAGGCGGGGGAGCTTGGGGCGGGGGCACCCAGGAGGCCAGCTGTTCCCCCCCTCCCCGCAGCTGGAGAGGAAGCCACTGCATGCATGTTCTCAGGGGCCAGGGGACCGTCAGTCCCGAGCAGACTTTTTTTCCCCCCTCAGCACCAAGAAACAAAAGGTGAGCACTGGCAGGGAGCTCTCGGGTTCACTCACGCTTGATTGTGAGTTCCTTTTTACCATCGTGCCTTTAGGAACCTTTTCCTGTTGTCAAATGTTCCCAGACACCCACCCACCCCTGTGGCAGCCCACCCTGACCATGTTCAGTTTCGTACTGGGCCCCCCTATTTAAGAAGCCCCTGCTGCAGCCACCAGCCCCCCCCACCCCCACCCCCCCCCCCCCCCCCCGACTCCCATCAAATCTACGGGATTCTGCAAATTAAGTGGAACGATTCACACACTGTTGCATCTTCCCTGAAGGTCCCAGGGTTGGTGATTCCTGGCTGCGGGAGAAGCCTCGGGGCTCGGGGGAAGCACAGGGCTATGTGAGAACTGGGCGCTCAGCCTCTCCTGGGGACTCCCTGGGGCTCTGAGGCTCGGGAGGTCAGAGAGGTTGGGACACCCTGATAGAGACCAACCTCTGCTGTGTCTGGGCAGGGTGGGGTGTATGGGTGAGTGTGTGTGTGAGCATGTGTGTGAGCACGTGAGTGTGTGAGCGTGTATCTGAGTGTGTGAGTGTGTGAGCATGTATGTGAGTGTGTGAGCATGTGAGCATGTGTGTGTGAGCGTGTATGTGAGCATGTGTGTGTGTGTTTGTATGTGTGTATGTGAGTGTGTATGTGAGTGTATGTGAGTGTGAGCATGTGTGTGTGAATTGTGAGTGAGTGTGTATGTGAGTGTATGTTAGTGTGTGTGTGTGAGTTTGAGTATGTGAGTGTGAGTATGTGAGTTTGAGTGAGTGTGTGTGTATGTGAGTGTGTGTGAATGCCTGTATGTGTGAGTATGTGAGTGTATGTGAGTGTGTGTGTATGTGCGTGTGTGTGAGTGACTGTACGTGTGAGTATGTGCGTGTGTGTGGATATGTAAGTGTGTGTGTGAGTGTGAGTATACGAATGCAAGTGTGCATATGTGAGCATGTGTGAGTGTGTGAGTGTATGTGAGTGTGTGAGTGTGAGCATGTGAGCGTGAGTATGTGAGTGTGCGTGTACTGTGTGTGAATGTGTGAGTTTGAGTGTGTGAGTATGTGGGTGGGCGAGCATGTAAATATATATTTTGTTTCTCCGGTTTGGAAGCTGAGTCGCCTCAGGAAACCTCCAGCCCCCTTTGCCTCTGCAGAAGCCCCTCCCTATGGGCAGTGGACCCCCGGGGCTCACCTACAGTTATCCCACCAGACAGTTATCTCTGCGGTGGCAGAGCCCCGGAAGGGCTGTGGGAAGGACACGCTCTCTTTGTCCTGCAGGCCCAGAGGTTTTCTCTATGAGCAGCCAGGTAGGAGCGCGCCGGAGACACCCTAAGCCCTGGTCGGTGGGCGCTGGAGCTAGTCCTCGCTGCTGGGATGACGGAGATGCAAGTCAGAACAAGTCCCACTTTTTATTTTAGTTTTTAGTTTTTGGGCCGCACTTGGCAATGATGAGGGGTTACTCCTGGTTCTGCATTCAGGAATTACTCCTAGTGGTGCTTGAGGGACCATAAGGAATGCCAGTGATCGAACCCGGGTCAGCCGGGTGCAAGGCAAACGCTTTACTACCTGCTGTATTATCACCCGGATCCCCAAGCCACCTACTTTTCTATGCCCATTTCTGTTCTTGGCTCCATGAAGCTGGAAGTGGCTCGGGGTTAAGCTCTTTGCCTTGCATATTCCAGCAGTGTACATGGTCCCCCAGTGACCCTTGAGCACAGAACTGGGAGTAGCTACAAGCACATCACTCCCCTCCCAAACCATGAAGAACCACAGTTACTTCTTGCTAATTTTCCACGCTTGACCCGGATGACGGGGCGCTGCTCAAGGCACTTTGGCTCCAAGCCACTGGTTAACTCTGCCACTCGCCTGCTCGCTCCATTAGACATGGAGGACAGTGGGCATGAGCCGCAAAGACAGAGGCAGTGGGCGGCATTTCCCCGGTGCCCAGACAGGCGCTCTTGCTGGGAATCAGGACTCGGAAGCCTTCTTGGGGGCCTTCCCGCAGGGAATATAAGCCTCAGGTTGTAAAGGAAATGGTTCTGGGGGCTGGAGTGATAGCACAGCGGGTAGGGCGTTTGCCTTGCATGCAGCCGACCTGGGTTCGATTCCCAGCATCCCTATATGGTTCCCTGAGCCCAGGAGTAAGTCCTGAGTGGAGAGCCAGGAGTAACCCCTGTGCATCGCCAGGTGTGACCCAAAAAGCCAAAAAAAAAAAAAGTTCTGGATGGTAAGGTTCCAGGCAACACAAGGTGCCGGCCTTATGCAGGAGGCCACAGGGCTTTAGAAATGAGTCATCTCTTCCCATCCCCTTGGTCTTCGAAAGACCCAAACGATTCAAGCTAGCTCATCTTCGCCTCGGACTGTTTCCTTCCCAACCATCAGCTCTGTCATGAGCCATTCTAAGCTCCCACTTGGAGGTGGGGGCACAACTGAGTATTTCAAAGTTCTCCAGGAAGAAGCTTCCCGAGTGTTGGGGCTCACTGCAAGGACGTCCCTGGGGTCTGGCGTCTGACATGCTTGGTCCCGAGCAAGCTGGACACTGATGCAGCTGGTTCATAGACAGGGCCACAGGACACAAACCTGGAAGTGACCTTACAGCTGGAGAGGCCCACGGAGGGAGAATTCCTCCCCTGCCCAGGATGCAACCAACCCCACGGTCTGCCTCTTCCCCTTGCGGGGGGAGGGGGGGGGGAGTCCTACTTCCTCCCAGAGCCACAAGCCCACAGCCCAGTTCCCACCCTGGGATTGTCTTTCTCATGGTTTTTCCTGCCCGACTCAGGGGTTTTGACATCTTGGGGCCACTCTGGCTTGGAGCTAATTCCTGGAGCTAACGCCACTCACGTGGCAAATGAAAACCCCGCACCCACACCCCCAACCGCCGCCGCTGAGTCAGATCAGGCCACCTGCCACCTGCTGGCATCAGGCCAGGCCCCAGGCAAGCAGGAGAGGCTGCAGTCCCCACGTCCCATCCCCCAGTGGGTGGTAGACCCTGTCTCGCCCCTTCCTCCCTGCTGAGTCACCGGGAAGGTTCCCGTTCACCTCACCCCTGGCTCGTTCTGCCTATCCGCCAGCTCTGGGAATGCACACACGGCCCTGCAGGTTGTGATGTGTGTCTCTCTCGCTCTAGTGATCTGGGAGTCCAACAAGCTCTCACTTCCGTGGCAGTCCTATCAGCCACCAGCCTGGCTCTGCCCAAACAAAGAAATCCCTATTTTTAGGACACGGATGTAGAGATTTGGAGGCATGCATCTAATGTTCCCGCTCCAAACGGCACCATCTTTTTCACCTTTGTCAGGGAAGGGTTGAGGTGGGGGTCGCATCCAACATTCTCAGGGACTACTTCTGGCTCAGGGCTCCCCGCAGTGCTGAGGGGCCCATGTAGTGTCGGACACGGAAGCCAAGCTCCCTTACGCAAAGCAAGGGCGCAGCTCATGAAGCCATCTCTCTGGCCCTGAATGTTTTCTGAGGAAAAACGGAAAGGTGGGGTACTGCAGGTAAGACCAGATGCTTGCAGCCTCTTACCCGGCGCCCTTAGCCACACCACCCAAGGAAACAAAAACAACATGTCAGTCCATCTTCTCTGGACCCCAAGGATGGGGCCTGACACCTCCATCTTCCTGTAAGGAGGCGAATTCATCAGAGACAAGGCCGCTAGCAAAAGCTGCTGGAAATCCGAGTCTAAAATCCACACATCAGGGCTGGAGTCATAGCACAGCGCGTAGGGAGTTTGCCTTGCAAGCGGCCGACCCGGGTTCAATTCCCAGCATCCCATATAGTCCTCCGCGCACTGCCAGGAGTAATTCCTGAGTGCAGAGAGAGGAGTAACCCCTGTGCATTGCCGGGTGTGACAGAAAAAAAAATCCACATATCTGGGGACTGGGGCAAGAGGAAGCAGGAAGCAGTAGAGAGGGGGGCAGGTGGACCGTGATGTGCTGTGTTTGACTTTTAGTGGCCATAGGGATGAACTTGATGGCTACTGTGATAAAGTTAGAAAAGTATCTTCCTGAAACTGACTCCCGTCAATTCCCGAAAGACACTTTGTTGCCAATGGCCCGCCCACACAAAGGCCTTATTAAGGAGCATCCACCAAGAGAATCAATCTGTAATGGAAAAGAGCAGTGGCAATCACAATAAACCATGGCAGCAGCGTGCGTCTTGTCTGGTGTCTCTCTCTCCAGCTTGCCCTGACAGTGGCCAAGATGGGCTGGCGCGTGCCCCCCTCCCTCCCTCCTCCCTCCACCTGTCAATCATGCAGCATCACCCGGGGGGGCGGGGAGCGCACATTACCTGGGCTCGGTGCTCCCCGACGGCGAACTGGATCACGGCCACGCCGGGGCTGGGGCTGTCCTCCACGCGCTCCACCGTGCTGGAGTCGATCCTCAGGTCGCTGCTGATCTCGGCGCTCTGGATGAAATCCTCCGTTTTCAAGTCCTCCACCTTCTTCAGCTCCCCGTTGGCCAGCTGGATGATGGAGCCCTTCATGAAGTACGGGGGCAGCGTGGGGGGCAGCACGGCGGCCGGGGAGGCCACGGACTGCACCACGGGCAGGTGGATCTGCGCCTGCACCATGGCCGGGTAGGCGGCCGGCGTGGCCAGCGCGTCGGGGCTGAAGTTCTCGCCCTTGGGGAGGGCCGTGGTGACGAAGGTGTGAGGCACTGCAGCGAACTGGGGCGAGGACGTGGCGATGGCCGGGGCCGCGCCCGAGCCCTCCAGGTCGGGGCTGCCCACGGGGATGAGCAGGGGCTGGGTGCCCGGGATGACCAGGTGCTGGGGCAGGCCGCCGGCGTAGGTGATGGCCTGCTGCTGGCCGCTCAGGTAGCCGATGACCGGCGGCTGCGCGCCCGCGTAGAAGGCGGTGGCCGGCAGGCCCACGGGCAGGGCCTCGGACGCGCTGTGCGTGGTCTGGATGACCGTGTGCGGCGACAGCGTGGCCACGGCGGCCGCCTTCACGCCGCCGTCGGGGCCCAGGGCCTGCTGCGGGGACAGCGCGTAGGCGCGGTGGTGGCCGGCCTTGCCCAGGTGCAGGGCGCTCTTGTCATTGAGGGCCGAGGGGGAGGCGTCGCGGTGGGCCACGGGCTGCACGTCCAGCTCGGCGCCCGGCTGGCCGCTGTTGGGGAGGACCATCACGGACGTGCGCACGCCCGCGGTGTCGCGGCCGCCGTAGTCGCCGGAGCCCGGGTGCACCACCACGTGCCGGGGCTCGTAGGGGTGCGCGGGGGGCTTGCCGGGCGCGGGGGGCGCGCCGTAGCGGCGGCCCTTCTCCATCTCCCCGTTGAGGAGCTCCTTGGCCTGCAGGGCCTGCTGCAGCCGGCCGCCGTCGGGCTTCTTGGCGGCGGCGGCGTCGCGGGGCACGAAGTGGCCACCTGCAGCGGCGGCAGCGGCGGCGGCGTCGGTGTACTGCACGAGCACCTGCGGGGAGGGCCCCAGGGTGAGCGTGTGCGGGATCATGGTCGGGTGCGGGTGCAGGTGCACGGGGAGGGCCGGGGGCGAGGCGGCGGCGCGCCCCGAGTTCTGCGGCGAGCCAGCCAGGTGCACGAAGGGGCTCTGCGCGCCGGCGGGCGGCGGGGAGGCAGCGGCGGCTGCTGCGGCCACGAGTGCGGGCGCGCCGCGGCCCAGGTGCGCGGCCGGCGGCGGCGGGGGCGGCGGCGGGGGGCGGCGGCGGCGGGGGCTCGGCCTTGTGGCCGGCCGCCTGGCTCAGGCTGCCCATGCTGGCCAGCAGGGTGGAGTAGGCCTCCAGCTGCGAGCGCGGGGCCGGCGTGGCCGTGGCCGAGGCCACCGTGCTGGTGGCCGGGCTGGCCGTGGGCGAGAGCAGCTGCGACGGGATGAAGCCGGCGTAGGGCCCGCTGTATTGCGAGGAGCCCAGGAACTGGAAGGTGTGCGGCAGGTGCGCGTACTGCACGGGCGACACGGGCGTCCCCGAGGGCGGCGGCGGCGGCGGGTAGGCCGAGGGGGGCAGCGTGGCGGCGGGCATGGAGCGGGGCGCGCTGGGCGGCGAGTAGTCCAGCCCCGCCGCCGCCAGCGCCTTGTGCAGCCCGATGCCTTGCTGCAAGCCCAGCTCGACGGCGGCGGTGGGCCCGTGGCGCCCGCTGCTGCTGCTGCCGCTGCCGCTGTTGCAGCTGCTGCTGCTGCTGCCGCTGCCGCTGCTGCCGCTGCCGCCGCCGCCTCCTCCTCCGCCGCCGCCACTGCTGCCGCCGCCGCTGCTGCTGCCCCCGTGGCCGCGAGCGCCCCCTGGCGTCCCCGGGAGCCATGGCACGGCCTCGGCGCGGTGGTTGTCGCCGCTGGGGGGCAGCACCGAGCCGCCGCCGCCGCCACCGCTGCTGCCGCTGCCGCCGCCGCCGCCGCCCGCCTTCTCCTCCGAGGCCCGGCTGGGGGCGGGGATCTCGCGCTTCTTGGGCGGCAGGCATTCGTTGCTCCGCTCTTGGTTGGATTTCATTTTTCGCCGTCCCCCCTCCACGGTGGCTGCTTCACTGTCTGGCGGGCTCGGGGTCTAGTGGGAGACATGGAAAGTCACAGTGGATCTCCGCGGGGCAGCCAGGCTCTTCATGAGGGATCATGTCCCCGCGGGGTGCGGCGCGCCAGCAGCTGCTCGGGAATCTGGGCGGGAGGGGGCGGGGGAGGGAGGGAGGGGAGGAGGGCGGGAGGGAGGCCGGGTGGGGGGTCGGGGCCACGGGAAAAGGGGGGCAGGGAGGAGAGAGGGAAATGCACATGTCAGCACCGGCTAGGACAGACCACCTGGGCCCCCCACCTACCCCCGCTGGCCACACTAGGCCCCCAGAGGTGAAAAGAGCCCCAGCGTCAAGGCAGATACCGGCGTGCATGGAGCACGGGTGGGGATTATCCAGAGAGGGAGCAATGGAACCTTCTAATGCATTCTGGATGACCCAGACAGAGCAATGGAACCTTCTAGCAGATTCCCTTCGCATGCTTCCCCGTGGAAGACATTCTGGGCTGTGGGTCAAGAATATCCAGACAGAGCAATGGAACCTTCTAGAAGATTCCCTTTGGCATGCCTCTCTGTGGAAATCATGTGGGTCAGGATTACCCAGACAGAGCAATGAAACCTTCTAGCAGATTCCTTTACATGGGCTCAGTGCCTTCCTGAGGAGAGCATTCTGGATTACCCAGACAGAGCATTGGAACCTTCTAGCATATTCCCTTTGGCATGCCTCCCCGTGCAAAGAATTCTGGGCCGTGGGTCAGGATTACCCAGACGGAGCAATGGAACCTTCTAGCAGATTCCTTTACATGGGCTCAGTGCCTCCCTGAGGAAAGCATTCTGGATTACCCAGACAGAGCATTGGAACCTTCTAGCATATTCCCTTTGGCATGCCTCCCCGTGCAAAGAATTCTGGGCCGTGGGTCAGGATTACCCAGACGGAGCAATGGAACCTTCTAGCAGATTCCTTTACATGGGCTCAGTGCCTCCCTGAGGAAAGCATTCTGGATTACCCAGACAGAGCATTGGAACCTTCTAGCATATTCCCTTTGGCATGCCTCCCTGTGCAAAGCATTCTGGGCTGTGGGTCAGGATTACCCAGACGGAGCAATGGGACCTTCTAGCAGATTCCTTTACATGGGCTCAGTGCTTCCCAGAGGAAGCATTTTGTGGGTCATGATTATCCAGACAGAGCCATGGAAACTTTTAGCAGTTTCCTTTGCATGGGCTCAGCGCCTCCCCAAGGAAAGCGTTCTGGACTGTGGTCAGACCCTGGCAGAGCAATGGAATCTTCTAGTAGATTCCTTTGCTAAAAAAGATGTTCTGAATACTTCCCCTCACCTCCCCCCCTTTCTTCTTAGATGGGCAATGCATGTTTGTTCCCCTTTAGGAAATGCTGACCCCATGCCTCTCTGAATTCCACTGCAAAAATCAAGCCAAGTGAGCGGAAGGAGCACTCTACCTGCACAGCGCCAGACACTTCCTTATTTCTCAGAGAGACCCCTCATCCCCCACCCATGGCACCAGGGATCCCACCCAGGGCTTTGGGCTGGAAAAGACCGCTAAGTCACATCCCCGGCTCCCTTCTTCTGCATGTCTGAATCCTCATCTGCTATGGCCACCAACGCTCCCCGGGACCCTGGATTCATACTGGAGCTGCGTTCTCTCTTACACACACACACACACACACACACACACACACACACACACACACACACACACTCACCAAGACAACCAAGCCTGTTCTTTCTGCAAGTTTCCCAGGATATCCATTCATGCCATAACGGAAAGCCAAGAAGAAATCAGACTGTTAAACACACACGCGCACGCACGCACGCACGCACGCACGCATGCACGCACGCACACACACACACACACACACCAAAAAAACCCCCAGCTTGGTCCTAGTTAGTGCAATGAGGGGATGGGTTCACTGACGTTGGCCTGCCACAGCTCCAGCTTTCCTGGTTGGGTTTTCTCTCCACACCTCCCTCTACTTTTCTGCTCCATCAATTGACCCTAATCCTAAGGATGACTCCCTAGCTGCAGCGAGCCAGTCCTCCATGGACCCCAGGACTTAGGCAAACAGTGGCCCGTGAGTGCCCCCTACCGGCGGCTTCAGGCAAGCGCGGGGCTTGGGAATTCCAAGTTGTCAGGTCGGCGTTTTTCCCTGCCGCTGTCTTTATGATCTGATATGCAAGCACACGCAAAGGTCAGCAACCTTCAGTATTTGCTCAAGTCATGGCAACACAGACCAATTTCTGCTGCCCAGTGCTCCCTGTCTTCCCCCGGCTTCCATTCAGCTTTTGCCCCTGTCCTTGTTTTCATGGCCAGTGATTTGGTCCCTCTTGGTTTCTCTTTGCTTGGGGTTTAGACCATAACTGGTGGTGCTCAGGGCTTATTCCTGGTTCTGTGCACAGGAGTTACTCCCGGTGGGGCTTGGGGAACCCTATGGGGTCCCGGGGATCGAATCCAGATAGTTCCCAGGCGAAGTGAGCACCTGGCCCGCTGGACTATCATCAGTTTAGCACTGCTGGCTAGTTTTTCTATACAAACATGATCTCAGGACCCAAATCACACAACACATCTTTACTGAGTCTGATCAGGCATTAAGAAAGCACGAGTGAAGAAATCTGGTGTCTGAACGTCCAAGCACGAATCAATCAGAGCAAGATTTCTCCTATGTAAGAGAGGCACTTTAAAGCCTGGGATGAAAACAAAAAACAAAGCAAGAAAATCTAAAATCTGGGCAAGGGATGGTGCTTAGAGGATAGTACAGGAGGTAAATCCCTGAGCACTACTGGGTGTGGCTCCACGCCCTCCCCTCTCCCCCCCAATAAACAAAATGTTGTGGTCAGGGATGTCACTCAACTGATAGCTCACATGCCTTACACATGTGAGGCCCCGGGCTTAGTTTTCCAACATCCCATATGGTCCATGGGGGCATATGGACCTTCTTCCTTAGCACTTCTGGGTGGTTCCTCCAACAAGAGCAACTTAAGTTTTTTTTTTCCTTTTTGGGTCACACCCAGCGATGCTCAGGGGTTACTCCTGGTTCTGCACTCAGGAATTACTCCTAGTGGTGCTCGGAGGACCATATGGGATGCTGGGGATCGAACCCGGGTCAGTTGAGTGCAAGCAAATGTCCTACCTGCTGTACTATAGCTCCAGCCCCCAGAGCAACTTAGAAAAGTCCCTTTCTTTATTTTAATATCTATTTCGGGCCTTCCCCCACCCCCTTTCTAGCCCCCTAGTTCTCCGGGGGATTAACTTATGGATATTTGTGCAGGGATCACTCCTTGGCGTAACTTGGGGGACCATAGGCTGTTCTGAGGATTGAACTCATCTCAGCTATGCACAAGGCATAACCCCTGCGCTATCTTTATGGTCCCTAAATTAATCTTAAAATATTCATTGGAGATGTGACTCTGGTAGGGATCACATCTTGAATTGGGAAGCCCCTGGATTTGAGTCCTGACACCCCCCTCCCCAACACACACACATACACACACACACACACACACACACCCTACACACAACCTTTAAAATATGCTGAAGAAGGATCTGTGTTGAAGGAGTGATGTCAGTTATCGACCTGCTCAACCCAGGCTTTTATAAGCCCCGAACAATCATCTCCTGAGTAGTTTCCTTTTCTATAGAATGCAGCATGGATTTTTGCATTACATGCTTGCAAATGGGCTACAGCGGCAGTACTGTTCTCAAAAATGGTGACAGAATAAAATCAAACTTAACATTTTATCTAAATAAAATTAAGCACAAGCACCAAAAAAAGAGAAAAAACCAAAAAACCAAAAAAACAAAAAAACCCCCCAAAAAACCCCCAAACCCAGCTGATCCCTTTTGGTTGCTTTAGAAGAAATAGTGAGGGATGTAGGTCTGTGGTAAAGCCTTTGCTTTGATGCCCACCCCCACCTACTGCACAGTCTCCCCCCCCCACACACACACACATACTGATGACGATCACTCATTTGTCTTATTTCACATTCGGGTTTTTTGTTTGTTTGATTTTGAGAAGCCATACTCAGCAGTACTCAGGGCTTACTCCCAGCTCTGTGCTCTGGGGGCCATAAGTGATGCTGGGACTTGAACATGGGTTAGACATATGCAAGGCAAGCACCTTTCCTGGTGTATTCTCTCTCCTCTCCTCATGAGTCGTCACTCTGAAGATAATCAACTTTTATTCCCCCTTGCTTTTTGGGCCACTCTTGGCAATGATCAGGGGTTCCGCCTGGCTCTGCACTCAGGAATTAGTCCTGGCAGGAGCATCTGAAATATCTGGGATTGAATGCAGATCGGTCGCATGCAAGGAAAGTGCCCAGCTGGCTGTACTATCAAATCGCTCCCACCCCAACCAAGAAAGCGAACCGCTTGTCCATGCTAACCAGCTAAATCAGTGCGTCCATGCGCCCCCTGCTGGCCTCACAGCAGCACTGATGGGCTCAACCCCCCAACAGGATTTCATTAGGGATATTCATTAGGGATATTCGGATTCATGATCTGTCTGAATCCGAAATGAGAACATTTGCATAGAGTAGGCCCAGCCAGTAAGGGAATAGGTTAATTAGCCCAAGGCAGCTCTAAGGAGGGGAGGAAAAAAAAAAGCAGCAGCATAAAAGTCCTTTCAAAGCCACGCAAAATGTCAACCAGATTCAGGAAAAGATCCATTAGCAATGCAAATGTGACACCGTGGTCTACCTGAACGCACTCAGTACACAAAACCACAGAACCCCGCTGAAGGTACTAGGAGGAATCCGCCCTTGGTGACTGAACAAGAATGCTGACTTGGGCTCGGCGAAGTCTCGGTTTGTTCCTGCTGTTGATGTGACAGCCCTGAAGATCTATGTTTAGGTTCCGTCGCTGGTTGCTCTTAGAACCAAGACACGTCTGTCTTAGTACAAACGTAGTTTTTTTTTTTGAAATGTTTCCCTTCTTGGGCACCTTTCCCAGACAATCTGAATGATAAATCAAGGACACAAAAAAGATCAGTGTAGACACAGGAGCAACCTAGGGCCTGACTGATGCAAACTTGAACTCCTCCGTTTAGAAGGCCGCCGTCTGCTGTGTACCAGACGTGGGTTCTTTCACGCTGGAACCTGGGGCCTGCAGCTCCAGTCTCTGTCCTAGCTGGGATCTCTGG